CTCAAGGGGGAAGATCAATATAAACTTTTGTAAGATACACTTTAAGGTTGGAGAGGTACATAAATGGATACTGCTAGAAGAAGATGGCTTTTCTTTCATGAGACCAATGAGTAACTATTAAATCTTAGACAAAACATATACCGGTATTCACCCATGAGATTTGTAGCTTAGAACAAGGCTGCTATTAATAACTCTTTCAAACTAGAACAGCCATTCAGTTCAAATTAAAATTATTAAATTTCAGAATTTAAATATGCTAAAGAATTTAAATGCTGAAATTAGTACATCTTATATAATTACCAAGAAGATGTGAATAAACTGTTTCCAATACATACCCTATTTTTACTCTAAAATCCTTACTGGAAGGGGATTTCTGATTATCATACGTGAAAAAATTAAAGAATGCAGCAAGCCAAGGCTTCCGCTCTGTATACATGACAACACAGCTTGCACGCTGTATCCTATCTGGATAGGCATGCTGAGGAAAGACATTTTATTTCTCATTGCTGTTCAATGTAGAGGCCTGCTGAAGTTAGGGACATCAAGGTTGACTCACCCTTCTTTTACAATGAAAATCTAATTGAGCTACAATCCAATGAAGTGTTCCATCAGTGAACCATGTGTAGAAGTTTATACCTCTGCTTAGATCCAAATCCTCCATGCTTAAGTCCATCATACAATGGTAATTTGCATATAACTTAGCCATATCTTCCTATATGGATGTTTAATCTCTACTACTTATAATTTGAATTATATGTAGGATTTGACATATTTTTCCCAAATATTTCCGGTCAGTCGAATCTATGCAAGTTCTTGTGGATATACAGGGACAACTGCATTTTAAGCTTTGTGAATTTTATACGGGCTCTGTCACAAGTCTAAAACATTCTTAACTTTCAGGCACAAAAGCAATCTGAATTTGTCTAAGAGGAAAACCATTTTTAAGTCTAGTTATAAAATTTTAAGCCAAATTATATTTGATGCAAAGATGTTGTGGCTACACTTGTAGAGTTAGCCAAACAACCCACCACAAACCATAAATGTAAATCCCAAAGCTGAAGCTTGCAGTTATTTATAATTAAAATCAAAGGCTACCACTGATCAAAGACCAGTCAACCAGTGGTTGGATTTCAGAACTCAGTATGTGAATCTCCAGGCCCAAGGAACTGTAAATGCTGCCCAGCACTGTCGCTTCTGATATGACACTACATTAATTATAGCAAACTACAATCAGAATTTTAATTCAACACCAAATTTGACAAACTCCTGATAACTCATGTGGGTTGCTTAGTAAACTTACCAGTATTAGTCATTAGTAGAAATGGAAGTCAACAAATTTAAGTCACTTACCTGTAAGAGCGTTTCTAGATTGTTTTTTCTAGAGCATCAAAAGATAATACTGGTTGAGGTATTAAAAAGTAATATATCTGGTTTCTCTATAATCACATTTTGCTTTATATAATAGGATAGAGGTTGAATCTGTCTGAATCTATTTTATACATATATAGAAAAGAATCTTAAGGCTCTCTAAAGCACTGTCTATAACAGCAAAAATTCCTTCTGTAGTATGAATGCCAAACCCCTTATTTTGGGCTGCTTCCAATACATTCTCAATGAATCTCTAAACAGATTAGATATTAGCAACACTGTCAAAGTATGGTCCCTGTAACAGCCTGGTTTTCTGAGGAAAATGTCACTTCTCCAGCTAGTACCTTCTCATCCCAAGAGTAAGGAGTGCTTACCTCTGGTTGATCTCTATAGTCTGTCCTTACCCAAAGCAAGGACGACTGGGCTTTAGTCACTGGTAATGGAAAGATTCCTGGGTTTTCTGGCTCTCTTGTTTTCAGATTAAAGACATTATTACAGTGGCAAAGAATTCACAATCCCAAGTTTCCTGACACATGGTAGAGGATAGTAGAATAGTCAAGAGAAAGTGGATCAAGATGAAATTTTGGTATGTTTTACTTGTACTTACCATGGACATGTTTTTAGGACTTGATTGTTCTATTTTAAAACTAATTTTAGGGCTAGGAATGTAGCTCAGCAGCACAGCACCTGTTTGGCAAGTGGGAGGCCCTGAGTATAATTCCCAGTACCCCTCTCCCCCAAATTGTAGAATAAAAGGTTGTCCCCACCAAATTAAGATCTATTAAATATCCAATAATGATTTTTAAAAATTGTAGTTATAATTTCCGAGTATCAAAACTCCAGGGCCGGGGATTTAGCTCAGTGGTTCCATTGCCTGCCTCGCAGGCACAAGGTCCCAAGTTCGATCCCCCGTACCAAAAAAAACACCCCAAAACAAAAACTTTCCAAACCTTAAACGCGTATTTAACACAGATAAACTTTCCAAGTGACTTGTAAATCTCTCCACTCCCTGCCTTCCTCTTCCTTTCCACAGTGAGATCCAGTCAAGCAGAATTTCCCATGGCAAAGTTGGTTCTCTTACCTTCGGGGGTAAAATATCAATTGAAATTATATATCACTCTTTCCTTCCTATTTTCCCTTTTTTTTAAAAAAAAAACAAACTTAAGGTTGATGAAATACATGGGTTAGAATAAGTGTTTCCCCATTTGCTATTTATAGATTAGTAGCTTGACTTTACACATATTGATTCTACAGCAACACACAAAGGAAGAAAAGAGGGAAGACTCCAGATAAAATTCTACTGAAATATTCATTAATTTTTCCATTAATCTGTTGTGGTAAAGTATTCACAGTAAAAATTCATCAAAGTTAATTTTTATTAAAATCAAAGCACCAGTCTGCTCCCAAAAAATTTTAAAAGAAAATCCCAAATGCAACGACTATTGCCTCAGACATCCTTCACAGTCAGCAAAACCTTCATGGAGAAATCTGTGATCTGACTGGTGGGTTACCACCCAGGAACATGAATCACCTGCATGTGAATTATGACTTAGTAAATTCCCATCCAAGTTGAAGTTACAATAAAATGTTTGTAAAGTTGTCAACTGTTAATTTACATGGCATTATAAAATAATTTTAAAAATATGTACATGGTTATTTAAAAGGAGCTCAGTAAGAAATTAATGATTGGACTCAAGGTCATGTCCATAATTTTAACAGCCAATCAGATCACTTGATTTCCCTCATAACGATTACAGGTTAAAAAAAAAAAAAGAAACCAAGGACATCTTCAATTTAAACCTAAAAAACTTTCATTCACATGCAGCAACTTTTGAGAATCAAGTTAATTTGGATTAGACCTTAGCAAAAGTTGTTTTCTTTCACCATCTCTTCAACAAAGTCAAATTTAAAAGTGTAAGCAGTGTAATAGCAGAGGACTTTGAAATGCAAATTTATAAATGGAGAAATTGGTTGTATACTCACCCTTTTGACTGTGGAGTTAACCTCTGAAAGCATTCTTAAGTTATACTACATCTACACTATGTGTGGTAGGTAGTAAAACCTAAGGCTCAGTCTTTAACTTGGAAAAGAAAGTAAAACTACCATGGAAGAGGATGGTACTGCATTTTATTTTTGTTCTAGTCCTTTCATTACTACCTCTCTGGGTAGGATAAGCAGGGCCTGTTAATTTAAAGGACAAAAGGGTCACATTGCCAGCTGCAGATGTAAAGATATTTTGCATGTAATATATGATATATCAGTAGATTTATAGTTCTGCCATAGCCATCTACTAAGTCAATGACTGTGTCCTTGGGCTTTCTTACCAGCAAAGATCAGATGCTTCGCATGTTGGAAAGCTGTTCTTTAGTTGGCATTGAGAAAATCCTAGCTCTGGTACGGTCTAGCTCATTCACACCCACCCCCTCACCTGCAAGATGTGGTCATATTCAGCAACAGGGTCCTATGGCTATGATACTAGGCTCTTGGTTCCACACGCAGAATGAAGGCTCCTGAGTTTTTGGTAGAGGTAAACACTGGAATGTTACTAAGTTTAGGTCTAGATTCCCTGAATCACACTGAACTCCTCTCCTGGAGGGACTCTCAGAATGAATGTGGGGTACAAAGAAGATCTTTTTAAAGCTTCTATTAAAATAGAATTTAAGGACTGTTTAGTGGCAATCCTCCTGGGCACATGGTTACTTGTTAACAGTCACACACAGAAGAGCTGAGACCGTAATAAAAGGGCTATCTGGAGAAACTCAAAATGTTTGCTTTTAATATGATAATTTACATTACTATGTATAATGACAAAAGATGGTTCTCAACTGCCTTTCCCTCAGCTAAAGATGGTTTTGGCAAAACAGAAACACTGTTTTAAAAAGGTAATATGGTGGGGCCAGGGATTTAGCTCAGTGGCACTGAGCCTACCTCACAAGCTCAAGGTCCTGAGTTTGATCCCAGTACCAAAAAAAAAGGGGGGGGGGTAATATGGCTTATGGTTATGAATATAATCATGACAGTTTGGGATACATTAGTATAAATTCTGGTTCAGATATATTTAGGAATTTGGGCCAGGCATTTAGGTCAGTGGTGCTCAGTGCCTGCCTGGCAAGCGCAAGATCCTGAGTTCCATTCCTGGTAGAAAACAACCCCAAAAACCAAAAAAACCAAAAAAAAAAACCAAACCCACAAGATATATTTAGGAAATTATAATTAACTTATTAGCAAAGCTCCCCAGCTGCTATGCTAAAAATGCTCAACCAAAACAACTAAAAGGTGTATGTACTGGTATCAAAATTTGTTCAAATAGTCTTTGGAAAATAAATGTCAAATGCATTTCAAAACAACACAACAAATATTACTATGGACTATGTATTTGGAAAAGTGATTACAACTTTTTTTTAAAAACAATACACAACTGACATATGGACAAATCCTAAGTCTATATAGAAAATGGAAAGGTATTGCTAGTAAGTTATTTTCTGCTTATATTTTATCTTTAGTAAAATGTTAAAATCCACTGAATTATCTACAGAATATTTTCAAATTGTCCACTTTAAGAAATAATGGCATGAGGATAAAAGCAAGTCCTCTGCATTTAACTCATGGGAGACAGTACACCCCAAGAATTCTTCAATTCAATTGTATTTTATTTTGTCATCCTAAAGAGAAAGCTTTCCTCCAATCAAACATTAATTGTAGTGTTTTATTAAGAAATGTTTACTTTGGAAAACTAAAAATATTCGTGTGTATTTTGTAAAATGTTGGATTAGTGTATGGCACAGTAATTCTCTTCTATCTTAACCTAATTTTCTTCTTTGACAGGTCATCTGATCCTAAAATAATCAATGAACAATAGCTGGATCTGCCCATTAAGAATATACCTGTCCTCAGAAAATGGATTTTTGTATATCTACCACTGAAAATGAAATTCCCAATTCAGATCAAAGATGAAATATGAGTTTCTGATTCTTTAAAAGCCAATCAACCAACCAGGAAGTAGATGCTTCAAGAAAAAAATGTTCACTAATAATTTTCCCCAACTGCCTGTTCCAAATCCTACAACACATTTTCATTAGAAATTATAAAGACATATAACAACCACAAAATTAGTCCCTTTTAGGGGAACTTATATTTAGTGCCCAACAGGGCATACGTTGAAGAAATCTCACATTAAATACAGTGCACCTGCTGTATTTCAAAACTGGGTAGTTCCACTAAAAGCCATACTCCAAAGCCCTGTTTATTAGAGGACTATCTACAAAGTTAAAAAAAACAACAACCACAACAAACAACACACAGACACACATCAAAATCAAACATGTGCTCACTTCCTTCTGTCACAGGAAGAAGCTAAAGAAAATCTAGATCTAGTAATGTATGAAACATGGCCTTAAAAACCAGCTATACCAAACACCTCTATAGAGAAGATAAAAACAAAAACAAAAAGCATTTGTTTTCCTGATTTTTCTTTAATACCGTTGCCACCTCTCATAATATACTATTAAGAACCTTCTTAATGGCATCTAATCTATCCTTTTATCAGACCATTTGGTATCCCCCTCAAACCTAGGTCTATGGCTGGGTGATAATTAATGGGTAGTGGCATTAATTTTCTAACAACGGATTAACGCATACATTCAAACCACTTAACTTTTCAACTTAAGAGTTCATACAAAGTCTATTTCCTTTCTATAGTAGCTATCACTCCAGATTGTGGTTCTGAATCCAAGAAGTGGGAAGAACGTCTTTTTGTTATTGATGCTTCTTTCTCCTTTTCTTCTACCATCCTTTTTCCCTCCCCTCCTTCATTTTCTTTCTTCCATTCATTTCCTTCCTTTCCTCTTTTTCATTCTTTTTAATAAGAGGTTAAAAGAAATAGATTAAAGAAATAGTCTAGTAAACATCAAAAACAGCTCACAAATTCTTCTTTATAATGATGTTAAATTACTGACAAACAAAAAATCTCCAACAGACATACGCCAATGGTGCTGCTTTATTTAAGCAACTGGCGCTCCTCGATGCTTTTGAGGCGCTTCTTCCGGGGCTGTACAAAGTCATCATCTGAATCATCACTAAATTTATTATCTTCTGATTCATTCCTGAATTCTACTTTAGGAAATCTTTTTTCTGGATAAAGGTTCTTTAGAAGTTCTTCAAAATAGCTTTCAAGTTTTATACCAGCATTGGCTACTTCTGAATCAGGCTGTTGGACAAAAATAAAAAGAATGAAAAAATAAAGACCAACATTTTAGACAGTTAATAATAGAAGTAATCTCTCAAACTTCTGTTCGTTATTGAGTCTTGAGATTAGGTCAATGGACTGAAGGTAAATGAAAGACTCTGACTTCTCTACATCGTTCAAAAAGTGGTAATGGTATGACTGGGTTATTGAAGATAAATCAATGAGATCCCTAAAAGTATTTTTAGAACAAAGTAAATGAAATGTGGTATTCTAGAATGAACCATTAACCAAAGGTTAATGATTAGATGATTAAGAGATGAGCCAATTTTAAATGAGAACCTTCTGGATTATCCTATTCCAAAATGCACAACAAAAAGACAACTCTGGAAGTCCATATTTTAAGAAATAAAGGTGAGAATGAAGAAAAAAAAAAGCTGAGAATGACAAAAACTTCTAGACCACAAGAATATTTTCTAAATTATTATCGTTATTAGTTATAATTTGTAATTTATTTCCACTACCCATATAATAAACCTTTGAATATAAATGTGGATAAAGTCTTCCTAATTCCCTCTCTCCTACCCTGATGGACCTAAAACACAGACATTTAGTCCCCACAGACATCTCGGTTTCCTTATCTGTTGACAGCGTGTTTCGTATATGATTACTTTCACACAGTGGCTGCCCTCCCACCTTACCTCATTAAATTCAGCACAGTTCTGAAAGATCAATCTGAAATCAGCCACAAAATCTTCAGGCTTTGTGTATAAGGAAGAATCTTCTTGCAGTCTTTTCTTTATGGTTGATAAGTCCATTGGATTTTTAATTATTTTGTAATAATCAGGCACCTTTCAAAACAAATGAGATGTTATAATACAACAACCGAATCCTACCCAGTCCTAAATACCTTCTGTAAGAAGTAATAGGAAAATTAAGATTGTTCTTACAGCATTTTTGCATTTTATCACTGGTAAGAAAAACTGTTTGGCAACATTTACAAAGTGCCTACTGAAGTTCACATAGTGGTGTTTCATGTCACTTTTTTCAAAAGTTTTTATGAATCATTTTAAATTAAAAGCCATGTCTTCATTTATTCTTTAACTTTATTTTCCATCTTTGAGTATTAAATAAAAAGCAATTATTAGAAAAAAGTATTATTTCTAGTATTATCTGACATTTCTTGCATGAATTACAGCAAGTGGTGAAGAAGGGCTTGATCACCAGTTCTACCACTCAACAGCAAGATCCTGGGTAAGTTTTTTAACATCGCTGAAAGTTTCCTCATATTCCAAATAGGAATAATCCTGGCAACCTCATAGGATTTAAATACACACACACATATATTATACATTTAATAAAAGATGACACATAAAGAAAACAAAGGATATTTTCCTGTTACTGTTGTTATTAATACAAATATAGCTGTAAGCCAAGATCATAAAATCATTAATTTTGAGTTAAGTTTTTAAGTGTGTACTGGCATTACAAGCTTGTTTTATTTAACTTGTTTTTAAAGAATAGGAAAGGGCCAGGGATGTAGCTCAGCGGTGCCTCCTGCCTGGGAAGGGCAAGGCCCTGAGTTCGATCCCTGAGGTGGTGGTGGTGGGGAGAAATTTATTGAAAGATAGTGTCTAAGAGGGAGAGATGGGGTGGTGAAGTGGTGGAGTGCGTTGGTCCTTGGTTTGTTTTTTTGAGACAGGGTCTCACTATGTATTCCAGGCTGGCTTTGAACTCGTGGAGATCCTCCTGCCTCAGCCTCCTGAGCACTGGGATTAGGTGTGCCCCATCACACCAGCCTATTTGACTTTATTCTGCCTTTTCTGGGTATGAAAGTCCCTTTACCCTGGAATTATTTATTTCCTTTCTCTACTTTTTCTCAAGAAAAAAATTTGATGGTTATCAGCTGAATTTATATATTTACCAAGTTACTTTTCTTCTAGCCTTGCATTAATTTTTAAAATTTAATAAACTGTAAGGACAAATTTACTGAATTTTTAAAGAAATTTCACACATGGGACCGGGGATTTAGCTCAGTGGTTTCGCTGCCCCAAAAAGAAATTTCAGACATCACAGAATAGGAAGAGAACATATTTTGGGTAGTGGTCCCTTTCCACGAATATAAGATTAGGTTGCATCAAACTCTCACTATGAACCTTTTTTTTGGTACCGGGGATTGAACTTGGGTCCTTGCGCTTGCACAGCAAGCTACAAAACCACTGAGCTAAATCCCCGGCCCAGTATGAACCTTTTTGAAGGCAATGGTTAGCATAGGAACATATATCCCTTCCTCAGCTTACTTTCTATTGTTAAAGTCCACTTATTACTGGAAGTCTAGACCTATACATTAAAATAAGTACAGAAAATATGTGGGAAGCTTCTAAGTCAGGGCGTTTTTTCCCAGTAGCTTAAGATATATACCTACACCTTCTGAGATACAAACATGGAAAACATATTCAAATAGCAGGTTAATTAGGTAAGGTGAGAAAAATACCAGACAAATGAATAGAAGCTTGCAATCAATTTGTTAATGTCAAAACATAACTATTTGGGATCAGTGCATTCCATATGAATTAATAAACTTTAAGATCTGGATTAGCTATTAACAAGTATTGAAAATGGTATAGAAATTAGACACATAAACAAAATTTCCAAAAAAGAAATGTCCACATCTCACTATGTCAACATGTACAAAATGACATTAATACTTACAATTAGAGGAACAGGGTCTTGAAAAGCCAGGCTCATTTCATGGCAGTAAAGAAATAAAAGTAGGCGTTCACACTTCTAAGGGAGAAAAACCCACAATGGAAGTCATTGCTTATTTTCAGTGAGAATTCCATGGGTCTCAAAGTACAAGAATTAAAACTAGACGAATATAATAAGGAAGATACTAAATCTTGGAATTTTGCTTTCCTTCTATGTGGTATTTGAGAAAGTCCTTCTAACTAACTGAACCAAGAACAATATCATTAGAAACTCATTTGAAGCTCTTTACAGTCACTTTCCACTTCAGACTGGGTGCTGTAGTAACAGCTAGGAAAGAAGACCACATCCAGTTAAGAGATGTATGGGGACTCTTCCTTGGCTCCCCTCTGCATGCAGATGGCCTGTTGTGCGCTCTGCTACTTCTCTTGGATAGGTTATCCCAGTGGGCACTGTGTCTAGACCTGGCACTGTTTGTGGCCTTCTTGCCTGACATTTTCATACTGTTTTCTATTTAACAAACTAACCCTGCATCTTTAAATATTAGTTGGATATGAATAAACCTAGTCCAGAAGAGTGGAAAGAGAAGCCCAGATCACTGGGGCCACTTCTAAACAAATTACGTGGAAGAAAACATGTAATAGAGATGAAACAAGGTAAGACTTTTACTCAAGGCAGACTAAATTTAAAAGCTCAGGTTGCATCCTGTGCAAGTACTTTAAGCATCTATAACACACACACACACACACACTCTGCCATGCTTCCCGGGTAAATTTAAAAACACTATAATTTGCTGTTATCTAAGTTTCCAGGTCTATTTTAAAAACTCCTTTAAAAAAAATCAATACAAAATTTAATGTATCTAATCAAAACAATTGCCTACCACTCTAGGGTACAAATGTCCAAAGACTTACCCTTTTATCTATTGGTGTTAATTTAACAAGACCTTCAGTTTTCTTTTTTTCCAAATTGTGAGTGGGAGCATCACAATCATACTCAACTTCTGGTTTAGATAAATCTCGGCAGAAAGTACAAATCCACTCTCCACTGTTGAGATAATGTATTTTTGAGTTTGTAATGAATTCTCCCCCTTCACCACTTCCCCTTCTCACGCCCTCCATGCTATCTAGGATACAGATTTACTGGGCATGAATTTTAATCACTAAATATTTACCATATACCTACTAGGTTCAAAGCATCTGCTGGGAGAACAAACAGTGAGAACTGATTGATTGATTGCACCGGGGACTGAATTCAGGGACCTTACATGGAGCTAAATCTCCATCCCTTCTTATTTTGAGGGAGGGTCTTGCTACGTTGCTTGGCTGCCCAGGTTTGGCTCAAAGTTTCAATCCTCCTTTCCTGCCTCAACTTTCCAGAGTGCTGGGATTACACGTGTGAGCCAAGGCCTAAGTGTTAATATCAAAATCTAGTCAAGGAGGTATGAAATATTTATGTATTAATAAATTATTAATTTTATATGTATTATATATATTAATCTTAAACATACACATTAACTTAAGAGGCCTTTTGCTTGTTTTTTTTTTGTTTGTTTGTTTTTGTACCAGGGATCGAACTCGGGACCTTGTACTTGCAAGGCAGGCGGGGAAACCACTGAGCTAAATCCCTAGCCCCTGGTTTTGTTTTTTAAATTCTCCTAACAGACTAGGTTCCCCTGACTCCCATGTTGGGATTGAAGCCAGGGTCTTGCATATGTCAGGCAAGCACTCTGCCACTGAGCTACATTCTCAGCCTAGACAGTTTTTTGCAAAAAAGCTTAGGAAGAGGGAACCCTAGATGATTATTAGGGACTTTACAGTGCTGTATGCATTTGTGGAATTTTATTTACAGTTTTTACAAAGATTTTAGATTATAGAGATCATCAAAGTTCACTGTTATTATTTTTAACTTTTTTTTTTTGCAAAGCTGGAAATTGAATCTAGGGCTTTTCATATGCTTGCTAAATCTACTTCCACTGAGCGAACCAAGCCACCCCTGCTCGATGATTTACAGCAAAAGAATGTGGAAAGGCAAGTAGTATCTTACCTTGGAAAATTTGTCAACGTGGGCACATGACAAGAGAGGTGGAAAACTTTTGGACACTTCTCACAGCACAGCAGTTCTCCTCCATTTTGACAAACTGCACACCAGTCCTCGTTGGGGTCATCCTCTTTCCTTGTCTCCCCAACATGAACGGGTGACTTCTGGGAGGCATTGGGCCACTCCGACTTCCCATTGGAGGGATTCTCCTGGTGAAGTCCAGGCTGATCCCCAGTGCTATCAGGGGCATCCGATCTTACAACAGTCTCCTCAGAAGCAGAGCTCTGACTGCTATTTAAGAGCAGGGAAGTAAGTATGCTTCTTGGATAGTTGGTCTGCAGTAAGAAAGAAAACAATGTGTGTGCATATGTGTGCATATGTTTTCAAATTGGTTTTTTTTTACTACTGCAATGTTAGACTACAAAGGGCTCTCCCATGGCCCCCTTGTACTCTGAACAAGTGAGAACTGCACTTGAATCTCTAATGGCACAGGAGACTGGAGCTCTACTGAATCTGTCAACACAGGCGATGGGCAGGAAGGGTGTGGATAATACAGGAAAACCCTGGGGTCTGCTCATGTCTACAAAAACTAGAGAATGGGTAGCAGTGTGGAAGTTAGACACATAAACTATAAATATGTATGTATTGCAGCTATAAATTCAAATTACACCTAAGACAGATATTATATTTCCAAGATGAATCTAAATTGTGGTGGATACTAGGATAGTGAAAAATTTTTATCAATAACAAAAACTATACCCACTGAACATTTAAAAAAAAATTTCCAAGTAATAAATGTAGACATTAAAAGCACTCATTCCCTAGAGGCAACTATTTTCTTTTTCTTTTTTTTTTTTGGTACCAAGGATTGAACTCAGGTCCCTGTGCTTGCACAGCAGGCAGCGAAACCACTGAGCTAAATCCTGGGCCTTGGCAACTATTTTCAAAGTTGGCATTTTCTTCTGCTATTTACTTTCGCATTTCCTTTTTTTTTTAAACAAAAAAGTCAAGAGCTGGGGATTTAGTTCAGTGGTTCTGGCACCTGCCGCACAAGAGCAAGGTCCTGAGTTCGATCCCCAGTACCAAAAAATAAATAAAAAATAAATAAACAAAAAAGTCAAATCATTTATTAGAGAAAATGGAACTATGAATTTTCACCTTATATGTTTGGTCCTCACTGCATCCCTGAACAAAACAATCCTAAGCATTTCAGCAAACAAACCTCAAAATAAGACTAATAAGGTAGAATCTGGACAACCTATGCACCTACAATCTATGTATCCACAGAATCCTGAGTATCACACTCAGTCAATGAAAAGGTCAATTCTGACCATGTTTACAGTATTCCACAAAAAAAAAAACATCTAGAAAGGCAAATAAGCATGGCATACTTACATGAGATTCTTTTTACTTGGTGATTATATATTTTAAAAACAGTAGTTTCCTTTTCAACAAATCCCATGTTGAGTGCAAGATGCTTTGTAACTGTGCAGCATCTAAACTACACAAAAAATCAGGTGCCAAGTAAAGGTAGTCTTTACTTCAAGGAAAAGGATTGAATATAGAGATATAGGAGCAATCCTTTTTTATTTATTTTGTTGAGATGAGGGGCTTGTTATGTTGCCCAGGCTGGCCTTGCCTCAGTTTCCTGAATAGCTGGGATTACAGACACATATAACTGTGCCTAGCTTACTTTCATATTTCTATAGAAAATGCCAGTAGTGTAATTTCTTGGATTTTCAATTTTAAACACTATATATATATATATATATATATATAAACTCTCTCTCTCTCTCTCTATATATATATGAAATTTTCCTATGGAAGATCCAGAGATTAGGCTTTTGCATTCTGACTCTCCAAACCCTTCTTGCACTCACATGTCAGTACCCATCCATTCTCTACATGTAGTTTGCATTAACCGTTAACTTTTTAGTTGGTAGGAGCCAGCATAACTGTTTATGGCTACCATCTATGCCAGCTGACCTGAATCTGTACTGGCCAGGTATTCAGAAAAATCATAATTTTTTAATTAAATGTTTGTTTAGGTTATATCCTGATATGTAAATTTTAGTTATATGTGTATTTGGATGTTTGTTTCATCATCCGACTATGTAAATAATGTCCAATACAGAATCACAAAATGTACTAAAACTGTATTTCCTTTGTGGAGCATTTTGCTTATTTTTCTAGGTACCCATCTCCATGACAATCTCCACCAGGTTATAAAATGATTTATTTTTGTATATATAAAATGATTTTTAACACTGTCGAAATGTTCTTTTCTGCTCAGCTACTTCCCTGAGGAGTCTGCTTTTCTACTGTAGAATGTTCTATAAGAGCTGCTATCCTGGGGACTACCCTCTTCTTACCCCCAATCAGGAATGGTATTGCATGAACTGATAATTACATTTTGAGGCCTAGATTCTTCATCTGATTCTTGTTTCACTATAACAACGGGAAAATCATAATTTTCAGGTGGTCCACTGTTTTCTTGTTTTATTCGGATTGGCTCCAACATGACTACTGGGACTTTGTGTGTAGAATCAGCTCCTGTTGGTTTGCTGGAAGAACCAGAGCTGTAAAAGAGGGGGGAAAAAAAAAATCTAAAAATACTACACCAAAAATCTCACAACAAAGTATAGTATTAACACTCTGAAATAATGCTGTATCATCTCAAAATAACTACATTACATCAGCAATAAGTGATGCATAACTAAAATATGACTACTATATGCACAAGTTTCATTTTTGATAAAAAAAATACTTCACAATGTAACCTATATAGTTACATTATACATCTGGCAAGGTAAATAAATCTGAATTAAAATAAAATAAAACTGGCTTCAATATTCTGAGATTCCATAACTGGGCAATTAAGGTTTGGTATCAGGGCTGGGGATGTAGCTCAGTGGCACTGTGCCTTCCTTGCAAGTGCAAGGTCAATCCCTGGTACCAGAGGAAAAACATGTTGGTATCTTAGAACTTCCATTATTTTTAGGTTTTAATATTTCCTTCTCTGGTCATGACAAAAACTTGAAGCTCACATAAAAATTTGTTCTTGGCCAGGGATTTAGCTCAGTGGTTCCGCTGCCTGCCTTGCAAGCGCAAGGACCCAAGTTCGATCCCTGGTACCAAAAAAAAAAAAAATTGTTGTTAAAGTATAAAAACAACTAGGAAATCATTAGTTGGTCTTCTGCTACTTACACAAGGGGTGGTGCAAAAGCCTCGTATAGAGAGCCACTATGTTCTCATGGGATTACAGGCCAACCTGTGCCCTCAGAGAGGCTTCTTTCATTTGACTAAGAAAGGAGGAACTGTGGTCACTATCTAGGAGCAATTCTCAAGCATAATGAGAAGAGCAGAGCAGAGTGGTAGCCAAGAATCTCGACAACTATAAATTTATTTCAAGTAGAATTAATGTCTGATCATTAGAAAAATCAGACATCACTGCAATAGTTAAAAAGGGTATCTCTTCCCTAAATTGGTACTTCTATATAGCTGTGTTATACCTACTTTTTTCCTTGCTATTACGCTAATGTAAAACATATTCTTATTTTCAACATATAGACAAAAGTTTTTAATTTTAAAGATAAATTTGTACTTTAATCCTTTCACTAGCTTATTAAAGTAAAATATAATTATGATTAAAATTTCAATTAAAAATTTAAAATAATGGGAAGTTATTCAAAGTGCATTGAATATAAAACATTTGGAGCACTAGCAAGAGAATCTAGTTTATGTACAGTTGGCCCCTGTATCTGTGGAGTCAATCAACTGTGGATGGAAAATACCTGATTTAAAAATTGTGGTTGAACTGGGCCAGGGATTTAGCTCAGTGGTGCCGCCACTTGCCTCGCAAGTGCAAGGTCCCGAGTTCGATGCCTGGTACCGTCCACACTCCCCCAAAATTGTGTCTGAGTTAGACTGTTTTGGGGGAGGGGGTAATTATTCCCTAAACAATACAACAACTAGGGCTAGGGATTTAGCTCAGTGGTTCTGGCGCCTGCCGCACAAGCACCAAGTCCCGAGTTCGATCCCTGGTACCAAAAAAAAAAAGAATAACAACTGATACAACATTTATTTGTATTAGGTATTATAAGTAATCTAAAGCTGATTTAAAGGCTTATGGGGAGACATGTAGGTCATATTCAAATACACCATTTTCTAACAGCGACTGGAGCATCTAGATTTTAATAACCTCAGGAGGTTCCTGAGACCAATTTCTCATGGATACTGAGGAGTGACTGTACTAGAGAACACGATTAATGTTGTTTACCTTCCCCGGCTCCCAACGCTGGAGGCACTAGGTGAACGTATTGGGGGATGGACACTAGTCATAGTAACAGGTCCTAAAAAGGGGGAAATCATACATATTAATAAGAATTAATAATTATGGATAAGTCCTATTGAATGTGCTCACTTAGCACTACTCTGAAACTGGAAATATACAATGAGATTCTATGGAACAGTAGGTAGTTGCCAACGTTCAGGCATGATCTGTATGCCCAGAGCAGCAGGGCTTTCAACCTTAATGCCACGGACTTCGGGCAAGGTTCTTTGCTACGTGGGAACATCTGTGGATTACAGGATGTTTAGGGGCATTCCTGGCCTATGCCAGTTAACAAACTTGCCAGTAGCATCTATTACAACTTCTAACTTGGAGTTCAACAATCACTGTGCTAGAGTAGCCAGGGTAGTATCTCAGTGAGGACCCTAGTCCCAGTGAAAACTACACAGGGCAATAACAAATAAAAATTAGGAGTTCAAAAAAAGAAAATCACCATCAGGAGAAACAAAATGAGATCAATTCATAGAAGACAATGAAAGTCACACCAAGAAGTTCAGACTTGAGGCAATAAACAAATGGGGGTCTGAATGGCTGCCATGGAAATGAAGAGCCCATGTGCTGGTGGTGGATTATTGGGCACTCTGTGTGGTGTCTGGGGCATTTAGTGGTGGACGAATGTCAACTTTAGGAATATTGTTAAAATGGCTTCCAGAAATGCTCTGGCCATGTTACGTCTTACCAGTTAAATGTGAAGGCAGCTCTCTCGTTATATTTTCATTAATGAGTACTGTCACGAAATAATGGGTAGTTTGGTGATTAGAAATTATATATGATTTTGATTTTTCTTGTAACTAGCAGTGAGAGTAAACTTTTTTGGGTTTAATCTGTTTTATTGGGTATACATATTTCCCCTCTAGGGCAACAGCCATTTACCATTTGGTCTGGCAATATAAAGTACATTCCTTATTTATATAAACTCGCCAGGTGATAAAACAATTTCTCTGCTGCATTTTTTCCAAAGTGTATGTTTAAAATAGTTGTCTAAGTGAAATAAATCAGACACAGAAGGTTAAATATTGGACAGTTTCTCTTATATGAGAAACCCAGAGTATAAATAATTTAAAGAGCGAAATAAAAGCCAGTAATAAACAGGGTGGTAGACCTTTTGCAGATGAGAAGGCAATCTAGGGACAAAGGAAGAGGAGAGGAAGGAGAGGGGAAAGAGAAACAAAAAGGACTAAGATGTAAAATGTGTATGTATCAACTCCCCATAATGAAAACATTATGCATTGCAACATGTACTAACAAAAAATTAAAATAAAAATGAAAAGATTAAAAAAAGGGGGGGGGGAAGGTGTTCCCAATTAAATTATCTAACTGCCTTACATTATGCTTGTATCACTGAGTAAAAGACTTAAATTCTTTTTTGGTTCCAAACACCTATTACTGTATGTCATTGTCTCCAATAGTAGTATTAGAGTGTATCTCACAGGAAATGAACAGGTACACTAATCATTCTTAAACATAAACACCAAACAAACCACCGAAAGACTGATCTATGTTTGATCATTAATAAATTTTAACTCTAGACAAATTACACCCTAAAAGAACACCATAAACAACTTTTTAGTAAGAATGTAATACTTATTTTCTCCTAGGAATGCTATAATCCCTATAAAATCTGTTGAAATTAAGGAATGAGTTTATTTCCTTCTTTGGAAGTACTGCATACTAATTTTAAATATACCAAAAGCTCAGACACATCTTACTCATGCAATAGAAGGTGAAGGAGAGGGACTTCAGTCATTTCTAGAGTAAAAGCCAGACATTTGCAACATCAGAAGAGGGAGCCTGACCTGCGAGCCCTGGAGAGGGCACTGATGAGTTTGGTGACTGCACGGTTCTATTGGAGGGCGGTCTGGGCTGGCCATGATCTGTGCTGGTATCTTTCCTCCCAATGTTGTCCAGCATAATAGTACTTGAACAATCAATCTTAGAAGAAAGCAAATTATTTCAAGGCAAACTTCTTTTGCAACGTAAAAGTTTATAAGAAAACTCAATAAGAATTACTGACAAATAGTAAGATATATAAATAACACATGAGAGGGGCCGGGGATTTAGCTCAGTGGTTTCGCCACCTGCTGTGCAAGCGCAAGGACCTGAGTTCGATCCCCGGTACCAAAAAACAAACAAACAAAAAAGCATCAGAAATTCTAATAGATATTTCTCATAAACAATCTCGAATAAAAATGTTCACTCTTTTAACATTACACATTCTTAGTTAAATATACTAAGAACATACTATTTCAGAAGTGAATAGTTGGAAAAAAGGAGTATATGTCATTCACAAATTTTTAAAAAATTTTTCTTAATTCATTTAACACATTAGGTAGTTGCATTAAAAAGAAGCAAACTTGGAAAGAGAAAAGTAGTACAGTTGTCCACTGTTGCAAATCTCTTTTATGTCTGCTTTAAGAGCAATCAATTGGCTTTTTTCTCCATCTGCTTCTGCACTGAATCTGTTGTGATTTGCGGCTTCATTGGCACAATATGAAGAACACCTGGCTTCACCCAGACAGAAGGCTGGCTTTGAGGGCTCTCAAAGGGCTGTAAGCCACTCAAGTCCTTGACCCGCATTTTTAGATTACTATTTAGTGAAGGCAAGGGGTTGGAGTCTTAATGCAATGGATATACAAATAACACTGATTTCTAATTCACTGCCAGGCTATGTACTGATTTCCAATTAAGAGTTTATTGCTTTAAATGCAACTATTGTTTCATGCCTAAATTTACCAAATTCATATGAATGTTTTTGTGATTAAAGTCCAGTTTAATTCTCTAACACAGATCCAGTCTTCTCAATCAGGGTTCTATGGTCCTACAGTCCAACGGCATAGACTGAACATAATTAATTATTTCTTGTTTGTGTACCTAGAATAGTGGTACTGGTAATTATGAAACATCCTTAGGAAGACTGAGAAAATAGTCACTGTGCCTCAGATAGAGTATCAGTTAAGACAAGCTGATAGACAAAGGGTCACTGGTACGGGGAATGCAGAGGAAAAGGTAGGAGAATTTATTTTCTTGTGGGTCTTCTTTCATTTGGGGAAAATGAGAGGAGTATACACGATCATTTACATTTTAATATTCTTTGGATTACCTTGGCCAACACTTTCAGGTAGTGCAAAGACCAGAATGAATGGATGTTAGATCTTAACTTAAGGAACGTTTAAACGTGTTTTCTATGTAGCATCTATGCATGAAAAAAATACATGTACTCTACCCATTTAGAGTACATAAAATTATAAAAAACTAAAATAACTGTAATAAGATGAACAATGTAACTATTAGAAAGTCACAATTGATCTCAACTTGAAAAACAAGCTAAATAATGAAAATTAAAACATTTCTTTCACAATGACAGGTGATTCTTTCCAAGTACAGCTGTACAAAATATTTCTGACAAGTTTTTTTAATATTTGGTCTTATTCATAACAATGAGACTAGAATAAGAAAAGGGTAAATAAGGATTCAACTTATATCTGTCTACATGATGTATTTTCTGCCTCTGGGAAGATGTTCAAAAAGTCATATGGACAAAGTTAAGAGCTTGGAAAATGAATATACTATTTAATTTAAATATAAAAAAATAAAGAGGTAATTTGCACTGATCAGGACAATCTAGGAGAAAATGTTTGGATTTCTACTACTGAATATATCGCATCTTCATCTCGTCTGATGTCTTATCATCCATCTCTAATTTTTGTTTTTTGGTACTGGGGATCGAACTTGGGTCCTTGCGCTTGCAAGGCAGGCGGCGGAACCACTGAGCTAAATCCCTGATCCTCTAATTTTAATCTATTACATTCCAGCCATTTGACTTCTATGACCCCTGGTCTTACTGCCCTCCTTTCCCAGCTTTGATTCTATGATCCACCATCTTACTTATTTAAAAATCCTTCTAACTCCAGACCCCAGAAAGACATTCTGTTGTATTTCCAAGTAATCATAACTTTAATTTTTACTGTTATAATATTTCTAAAGAAACAAATTACCAAAAAAACAACCTGTAATGAAACAAACCCAGCCCTTTTACCAGATCCAAATTAATTGACAATTTCCAAAACAGGCTGGAAGTATAAATTTTGTGTATACTTACATCAGGAAGAGAAGGAAGATTGTAAGAACCGCCCACTGGTGCGCTCAGATCAATCATAGGTGAACCAAAAGCCTTTCCATCATATCCTGCTGCACTCGTGATGGTGGGGCTGGAAGGAGTAGAGGATGAGCTGCTGGCAGTTGTGGCGGCAGCCTGTCCGCTGCTGATCTGCCACTGCAAGAACAAGATGGAAGAAAACAGGTTGTCGGTCAACTACTCTTTCAGACATCAAATGAAGTAAAAGACCCATTCTGCTGTCTGAAGTCAATTGTGTTTTCAGTGAAAAGAAAGGGGAGAATGATAGGTATCAAAAAAATAAAAAAAGCACCCAGTTTTACTGGAAGACAACTGTTAGTGTGTATCAAAAAACCATAGTACCCAGTCTTGGAACGATAAACACACATAAGCAATGCAACACAAACAAGGTACAGGTGGAGGTTTGATAGCACATATTTTCTTTTACCCCTACCTGAAATAGCTGGAAGTCATAGATCAGGCCTTTCAGGTTTTTATACTTTTTTCATTTTAAATATATGAAAAGCCCTGCTATACCTGAGGAAAGTCATGTCATTCATATTAGCAGCTGAGATAAACATATAAACTAAGATAATGCTGGCACACTAAAATATACAGAAATCAAGCATGCTACTGCCTGCAGTTTACTTCAAAAGCTCTCAGCCAGGCATGGTGGTACAAGCCAATATCCCATCACTGTGCAAGGCTGACACAGGAGGAGCACAAGTTTAAGCCCAGACTGAACAACTTAAGGAGAACCTAACTCAACATGAAAAATACAGGGCTGGGGATTTAGCTTAGTGGTTCTGGCACCTGCCTCCCAAGCACAAGGTCCAGAGTTCGATCCTTGGTACCAAAAGAAAAATATAGGGCCAGGGATTTAGCTCAGTAGTTCCACTACCTGCCTTGCAAGTGCAAGGTCCTGAGTTTGATCCCCAGTACAAAAAAAAAAAAAAAATGTTGCTAAAACAAAATACTGTTAGTTTTCATTTTAG